AAGAAGAGAAGCTCCTCAAACAGATGCAAACGTGATATAAACCCTCCCCTGGTGCCCCAGCACCAGGCAGTGAAGTCAGCTGCCCAGACCCTAGCAGCTGCCCAGGATGCCTGCTGACCAGACCTGCCTATCCTCCCCAGCACTCAGGGATACTTCTGACCACTGTCCCTCCCATCCCTCACCCCTACCTGCCCGCCCCAAAAGACAGCCGCCGGCCAGGAATCAGGCAAGGATCCAGGGAGACTTCGGATGGTGCCCAGCCGCAGGGCTGATTCTTGGCCATCTGTCAAGGAATTCCCCGAGACAGGGCTTTTCAAAATGAGTTTCCCAAGCCAAGAGGTGCTTCTGGAACACTTGGGGAGAGGGGGAGTGTTAGAAAAAGGAAGCTGAGAAATTAGGCTATCCCACTGGGCCCAGAGATGGGTCCCGGGGTAACCGCCCCTAACGGTCCTTTCCTCACCAGGGACACCCACAGGAGTCCCTATGGTGGATGACTGAACGATGACAGTAGGACAGCTCTATGGGGAAGGTCAGCTGCGAGCCTGGAAGCAGGGTCCCGGGAGCATTCCAGCCACCCACCCCAACCAGTCCTGTCCTACCAGGCCTGTCCCCAACCCCAGCCACTCCTAGATGCCTCCAGGCACTTAGGCCCAATACCTACAATCTTCCCTAGACAGGAACCCAGGAGCCCCTACTCAGGTGGCAGCCCCTCTCCTGCCCCCATGCCTGGGAGGCATTGGCAGAGTGCCCCAGCTCTGTCACCGCCCAGTCAGCTGGCCTCTGCCTGCCTGTGTAGCCCCACATGCCCCTGCCTGGGCCCCCGCTCCCCCCACCCCCACAGGGGCCTGGCCAGGAAAAACATTCTCTGGAATCCAGACCACGGCCCACTTTCAGACACTGGCCCAGGAACACGCACTGTCCTCCCACAGGGGAACCTCCCAAGGCCGCCTCCAGATGGACTTGGGGTAACCAAGGCAGACAGACAGGCTGACACTGGCCCCAGCAAATGGTCAAGTCTCCACCCTGGAGCTCAGCCCCCTGGGAAGAGGGGGAGCATATACTGGCCAGGCTGGCGGCATGAGGGTAGAGGTCCCACCAGATGCCTCCCGGCTGCCACTGGAGGAAGAGGCGCCTCTCAGCTAGATACCACGGAGGCTGGGGGTGGGGGCCTGGCACCTGTCCCCTTGCTGAGGGAAAGCAGAGAACAATGAAATAGTAGCCTGGGGGCTTCCTAGCTAGCTACCAACCTCAGTCTTCCCATCTAACTAATGCCACCCTCTCCCCCTGGGGCTGGGGGGTGGAGGTTGCTGACGTGAGAGGTGACTGCCTCCAGGGGCTCCTCCCCTCTGGTAGAGGGCCTGGGGTTAAAGGAGATCTGGCAGCACCTGCTACTCTCCCCTCTAGGGAACCTGTGCACAGGGAGGCGGGACATTCTTCAACAGCCCCGGGAGCAGGACTTCCACCAGGCACAGGGAATGCGGGATGCGAGAGACCCCAACCCTGCCTCAGAGATGAGGGGTGCCTGTGAAAGACAGTCATGGAAATAAGTTGACCCCTCTGTCCCTTCCCCTCCCCAGGGCCCCGCCCCGCCCCACAGCCAGAATCCTGTCTTAGAGAGGCAGGTAAGATTGGTTGCAGAAGGCCTTCCTGAAACTCGTGACTCCAGGGGAACAAAGTTCACCTCTGGGCGTGCAATTCTAATCTGTCCTACTTCCTGCTAGGCCCACAGTTTCTCTACTAACAGAAATCCAAACTGCCCCCCACCCCCGAAGAAATCAGAAGCCTCCCTGCCAGCTCCTGGGCTGCAGCTGGAGCCACTCAAAAAAAGGAGGCGCATGGAGGCTAAAAGAGTCACAAGTCCTGCGTGGGCCCGGCCTCGCCCCTTGGGCTAACCTCACCCTTCCAGAGTCACCTTTGGAACTAAGGGGTTAGTGGCCTGAAGAGGCTCTGATGGGGGTGGGGGCAGGGCAGCACGCTTCAGGCCACTGCTGGACTGCAGCCTGGCTCCTGGCCCTCCACACCGGGCTGCCTGGGGTGGCCAATGACTCAGGCCTGGAGTGGGGGCCCTTCTCCTCCCTTCCGGCCTGACCAGGATTACAGTTTCTCCCTTCTCTGGGACAACAGCAGCCCCACCCTAGTCAGGGTGGGGGTGGGGGGTGTCACCAGCCTAGCTCCATGGGCCACCTACCTTAAAGGCACAGACCCTGTCTGAACCTGTGTTGGAGAGTTTTTATGGGTATTGGCTGGGTCAGGAAGGGCTGGGGCTCTCCACCCTAAAGAGACATTGTAACTAAAAGTTATTTGCTTGTTTGTCTGGGGATACAACAAACAAAAAGAACTGTGGGATTCGATTCCACATCAGCAGTAGAGTGCCCTGGTTCACAAGAGGCTCACGATTCACAGAGCAGGACCCAGGAGCACCTGGTACGAGGTCATGAAGTGGGAGCTTTTTTTTTTTTTTTTTTTTTTAACATTTTATTAGGGGCTCATACAACTGTTATCCCAATCCATACACACATCAATTGTGTAAAGCGCATTTGTACATCGTTTCTCAAAACATTTTCTCTCCATTTAAACCCCCGACATTAGGTCCTCATTTTTCCCCTCCCTCCCCGCTTTTATGAATGGAATCGACTCCGTGGTTTGAAGGATTACCCATAGAAGGTCACGACCAGGTGACTTCGAAACCAGGAAATTCCAGCACCACAGCTCCAAGGACCAGGCTCCTTTCCGTGTCCTTGAACCCAGGGATCACACTATCCAGTCCAGCCTACCCACCCCCACCCTGCAGATGACAAAAGCCAATGAGCCCCACCTTAGTAGAGAGCTTGGGGGGACAGCTGGGCAGCCCAGGCCTCCACCTTCCCGAATACTCACTGCAAGAGGCTTGACCACGAAGTCTCAAGCAATGCTTCCCAAGAAGGCCAGGGACAGACCCTCCCACCTGACTCAAATGGAGAGGAGACAACACTTCGCCTCCCTCCCTCCTTCCTCAGAACTCCTGAGAGCGCCTGGCACAAAAGTAGGTGCTCAATAAATATTTGTAGAATGAATGAGGGAATGAGGTCACCTTGTTTCTCCCCCAACCCTAATCCCCAAAGTCCTGTGGAAAAGCAAAACCCCAAGCTCCTTCTTCAAACACAGTCATCAGCAATCCATATTTATCCGGTGTGCGGAGCACACAGGGTACTGTAGGCTGGGGGCTGGGCGGCCAGTCAGAGGTGACAGCTTCTAAGCACCTGTACCTCTGGGAGAGAGAGCTCTGCAAAGTGAAAAGGTTAAACTGGGGGAAGTAGCTTGTTCTTTGGGCCGTCTGGTAGGTTAAGTGTCATAAGGGGAACAGGTGACTCTACCTTGATTTTCCTGTCCCAGCATCCTCTGCTGTAAATGGGAAGCCTCGGGGAGTTGGCTGGCACAGTGTCTGTGAGACTGAA